GTCCAAGTTAAACTGATTCACTGCTTTGGGTCTGAGGTAAGGTAGATAATTGCCATGGCAAGAGCATGTGGTAGAGAGGCGGCTCGCTTATGGCAGACAGGGAGCAGGAAGGTAGAAGAGGATAGGAATAAGTTATGCCCTTCAGGCATACCCACAAGTGACTACTTCCCCAACTAGGCCCTGGCTCCTACTTTCTACCACCTCTCAATAAATACTACCAAATTATGACTCTATCAAGGGATTAATTCAATGATTAGTTCAGAGCCCTCATGATTTAATCACCTATAAATAATTGGATCTATCAGCATTGGGCGGGGAATACCTCATATCCAAACTATAACACACACAATTGAAATTTAGATAGTATATTTCTAGACAAAAAATTATTCATTTCAATAGATTATCCTAGCACCAAAGCTCATTTCTAGGAATCACTTTAATGTTTTTTGAAGTTCAACTGGCTGTCCATGTCCATTCCTTTGAGTTGCTATTTAGGGCTCCATCTGTGTAGGAAATGGTGTCTTCTCATGAGAACAGAGGTTCCTCCAGTTCCTCTTCCTAATCATCCTTGTGTGAGTACAGAACTCTTAGGGTTTTGCTCTGGGCAGCATCTTCCTGATGAAGCTATTCCTGGCAACACTTGAAAGTATTTCAGTAGAAGTAAAATCATCCCCCATGCTTTCAGTCAGAACCAGTCCAGGTTATGGTTCTTGCCTTTATGCCGCTGCTACATCTCTTATCTTTGTAGACAACTAGATACTTTATGGTACTCTTTTTTCCCCTCAAGTATAGGTGAACCTTTTAGGTTTTCTTTTTTTAAAATTATTATTTTTATATGTGTGCATGTATTGCCTATGTGTAGGTAAGTGCATTCGTGTTATGCAATGCCCATGGAGGACAGAAGAGGCTATCGGATCCCCTGGAACTGGAACTATGGATGGATGTTAGCTGTCATGTGGGTGCTGGGATTTGAACCCGGGTCTTCTGCAAGAACGACCAGTGTTCTTAATCACTGAGCCATCTCTCCAGCCCCACCTTTTAGGTTTTCTATCTTATAAGAACATTATCTAAAAACAATGTCTTCTGCTCTCTATTAAATCCTAAAATTCTATCAGGATGGTGGTGGCCAGGTGCATGAGATAGTAGGGATCAACTCCACTATTTAATGTGATAGTAGACTTTGGTTTTTGCTTTCTTGAGACAGTGTCTCACTACATAGTCTAGGCCGTCCTCAAACTCTTAATACCTTGCCTCAGGCTCTACAGTGCTAGGATTATACACTTGTGCCCCATGTTTTTCTGGCTTCGAGGTTGTCCTAGTTTGTTCCTCATTGCTGGGACAAAACATTCTGACCACTACCAACTTGGGGAGGAAAGGGTTTATTTATCTTACATCTCTCTGGTCACACTTCATCAGGGAACTGGCAGGAACCTGGAAGCAGGAGCTAGAGCACAGGCCATGGAGGAACGCTGCTTACTGGCTTGCTCCCTTGGCCCCTGCTCAGCCTGCTTTCTTATGCAACACAGGCCCACCTGCTCAGGGGTGGCACCACCCACAG